TTCCAGTGCATTTGGTTTTCGTCGTGGAAGATAACTTTCCTATTGCTGGAGAAAAGTCGAAGAAATTTTAAGGTCCCAAAAAAATATTTTGCATGAGGATGAACTCTTTTAACCCTAATGTGATTTATTTTATTTGGAGCAATTATAAATTACCTCTAAATTAAAATTAAAGACAAAAATTGGCAATTTCAAATAATATAAGTGTCTTTCTTTGAATCCTTTGGATTGGATTTAATTGGTTGAATTGTGTCATACAAAATTGAGTCCGAAATAATTTAGTTCACAAATTCATTAGATGATATTTTGGCCCGAAACCCAAATAACCATAAGACCATTATGATGGATTGATATTTAAATTTAAATAAATCTAAATCCACCTAAAGAATTGGGCTAGCTCAAACCTTTTGAAGTTAAATTGGGCCCATGACCCAAATCTATGGGTTTGGTCCAAAATAACACAAGCCTAAAGCCCGCTAAACATGTGTAAATCTCTATAAATAGAGTGGTCTCCTCATTTTCAAGAGTTTAGAATTTCAGAATTGAGAGGGTTCACACTAAATTGAAACATTCGAAAACTAACATGAATACTTTAGAACTTCGATTTAAATTTAAAAACAAGCATCTCAATCTTTACATCAAGTTCGAGATAAAGAATCAGAAGATAAAGAATGAATATTAAATCCACTATACAACACATACAACAAAATCAAAGTTCAACTCCACAAAATATAATTTCTCCTAAAATCTCGTGTGAACGGACCGAAACAGGAAAACAAATTTTTGAATGAGTTCGCTCTCAAAATTAATTGGTTTGTTGAGTCGTTTAATCTTTTCAAGGTGGAATTATCTCTGCATGTCCAAGATATATTGATATTCATGAATCTTCGTCTCAAAACCAATTATTAAGGAGAATAATAACTCATGTGTATATCTTACAAAATTTGTTAGGCCCTTAATCTGTTTGATGTAGGATCTTTAATAAGGTGTGTCAATTTTTACCTTAGATTTTATCAAAATTTTCCTTATACACTTGGATAACTGTGGTCAATTTTATCCTATTTTAGGCTCCTATATGGAAGTGTCATTGAAAAACATTCTCACATGCTTTTAGTTTATTACATTCAATAAAGGCTTGCTACAAAATTCATGAGACTTAAAAGAAAGATGATGTTAGACTTTTTTTTCCTCTTAATTTAGTGATTTTTGGAAGAGTTATGCAACAATGATCTTATGCATTGATTTGCTCAACTTATGCTTTTGCTTTGATTTGCCAGCTGCTTAATTTGTGTATTAATTTGTTAGGATTTCATTTTCTTTCAAATGGGTGAAGTTTTGAAAGATTATAAATGTAGTGGAAGACAAATAAAAAAAGTTAAAAGGTTAACATTGGTTTAAGTCAAATTTCTATTTGATGAGGTTGAAAGTTTTCTGGAAAAAAAAAATTATTAAGTTTGCCAATATTAGCAGTGAAAAAAAAAAAAGTTTTTATGTTGCTAGGGTAGGGCATCTATCTTAAAGTATTTTTTTTTATTTTTTAAAATAATTATTATAAAAAGTTAAAATTAAAATGACCACATGTCATTCACCATTTATTTAGTACAACATGTGGAGCTGGGGATTGAACTCACGACTTTTTAGTTAGAGATACAAGTCAATTACCTAGATGCATCATCCTCAAAAAAAAATTATCTAATTTGTTATTCAAGAAAGACAAATTGTACTTATTAGAAAATTTCTTCCATACTCCTAACCAATTTGTTAGGAAAAGTTTAACTTGATGTAAGGATTATGAGTAATAAATTACTAATTTATAGCTTTGGACATCATTTCAATTTAGTTGATGTGATTTAAAAACTAATTTAATCTCTATAATTTGGACTTTAGTTTTAGTTTAATTTGATTTTAAAATTTTAATTTTAGTTTTCATAATTTAGTTAAACTTTCTAAATTGTCCTTATCATTGACATTACAAGCTGGTACTATATCGAATATATGAGGTAAAATTAAAAATATTATTATTTTAATTAAAAAATCATTTTGTTTGAAACTATTTCCAATTCCAAGAGTATTATCGTTGAGAAACTGTTTATCAAATACGATTTTAACAAAGGACGGCCAACTCAATTAAAACAATCATATTTTTCAAAATGGTGTAAGAAAACTACAATATCTGTCGAAAAATCTTAGAAAAATATATATTTAAAATATGATTCCAAAATATTTGTTAAACTAGTGAGTATGTTATTTTCAAAATTTCAGCACAATTTTAAAAAATATTTCTTAAAATTAAGATACGAGAAATAGCAATAAATGTTTATGTTTATTAAAAATAAAAAAAGAGATACAAGAAACAACAAATAAGAATAGTTGATAACTAGACCCTAAGAAATGTTAATTGAGAGTTTAGAGTACAACATGTGGGATGAAAATTTGAACTCACAATCTTTTGGTTATAGATAAGTGTCTTAACAAGCTGATATTTAACGTACCACATTAAAACATTCAAAACTATAAGTGAATCTAATTGAACTGAATTGATAATTTGTCATTTTTGATTTAGATTTTTTGGGTCCGTTTGATAATTTTTTTGTTTCTTGTTTCTGTTTTCACTTTTTTAATAAAGAAAAATAGAATTGATGTCTTGCCTCCAACACCCATAGATACCAGAATGATAAAACAAACTTTTTATTTACGTTGGAACAAATTATAAATAGGAATCAGAAAAATAAATTGTTTATATTGTTTTCAAAACTTCTATACTATTTTAAAAATATTTTTAAAAAATAAGAAACAAAAAATATAAATAGTTGTTAAATGCTTAGATAAACGAGAAATTTTTATAAAGCAACTTAAAGGCAATAGAGGCATAAATTCAGGTTCTTCTAGAAAGGTCCTAAAAACAAGAACTTCCAAAAGCAGCCAGCTGTATCATCTCCGCATCCAACTGTTCACCATGCACCCCCTTCCTTAGCCAAACCCTAGCTTTTCTTTTATTATTATTATTATATTTTTCTCTCTACATTTTGTCAACCAAATATATTTTCATCCCCATGTAATTTAATCTTCTTTTTTTATACCCATTGTTGTTTAGGTAAATTTTGTAAGGATAACTTTGTAGTCCAAGTTCGAGGTTTTAATTTTATCCCATAGTATTAATTATAAATAAAATAAAAAAGGGTTAGAACGAGTTACATGATTGAATTTGAAAAAAAAAAAGCAAACAAAAATTAAAAAATTGAATAGGTAGTTAATTTAATATGACGTACTCTTTTTGGGAAAGTATTTCACTTTTGTGATTTAGAACTAAACTTTGATATGTCAATTTGATTGGATAGGATTTTTTTCCTAATAAATTCTTGTTTTTATGACTATATTAGATAATTATTTTAGCTAGATTTCACCTTCATGATAAATTTTATATTATTTTAATTGTTAATTATATGGTTAGATGTCAATCAGACTATAATCCAATTTTATATCATTTTAATTGTTTAATTTTATCATTAGATTATCAATCTGAGTATAGTTCTAAATGGGTCGAAGTATATTTTTTTAACTATATATTCTTTTTAGTACTAGATATTTATATTTTCAAATCTTTATCTTTAATTTGCCGTGTAAAAAAAAATTATATCATCCCATTACGTGAGTTTCAAGCTATGTTTGCATTTAAAAATAACTGGCTATTTTATTGACAAAGAAAGTCAAAATATATGGATTGAATTATTTATAATTTTATTTCTTTTCAAACAAAAGGAATTTTTGTTTAATTTTTGTTCCTCGTTATCGATGAGTGAGTTCTTGATATCTCGTAATAACTTCCATTACAATATTGAAAAATAGTGGGAATGCCTGATTTCACGCCAACAAGATTTTGGGATAAAATAATATTTTTTAGATAATTGTTTATAAATATAGTTTTTTTTTTCCTTCTTGGACGACATGTAGGATGAGATTTGAACACACATTGATATTTAACTAGACTCAAATCGGCTTATAAATATATCTTTTCTCCTTTCTGATCATTTTAATTTTAGAGATATTTACTTAAATAGCATAAAATATATAAATGTTTTTAAATATGCTATACATTTTGAAATTAAACCCTAAACACACTAAAAAAATCTAGCTAGGGTGATATTTGAAAAAAAATAAAAAATTGTGACGTTTTTAAAATATATATTAAATTTATACAATAGATTAAACTTTCTCTAAATTTTTTTAATAAGATATATAATTTATCAACTTCAACATATTATAACAAAGAAAGACAGCGAATCAATACATTATATATGTCAATTACACTGAATACATAGTTAAATTCAAAGAAAGAGAGTGGGTGAGAAAGAGGGATTGACATTTATTTTAATATTTAAGTAATAGACTTAATAACCTAAGGTTATTATAATTAAAAACAATGGTTTAAAAATGTCATTGAAACATTTTAAAGTTGAAAAATTACATAGAGGCAACTTATAGAGTTTACAAATTAAACTTGTAAGATAATTAAAATTATAATTTTAGTCTGAACTTTGAGGATGATGTTTAATAAATTCTTAAATTTTTAAAAAGTGTTTAATATATTCATAAATTAATAGGACCCTGAATGAGAGTGTCTAAGGATTCATACATTTTTAATTTTATTTCTAATATATATCTAACCTCTTAAACATTGTTTAAACTTCTATTAGATGTAAAATTTAATCTAGAATCAAATAGTGTATAAACTTTTAATTTTGTGACTAATAGATTCATGAATCTTAAAAAATGTTTAGTAAATTAAAAATATGTTAAACACGAAATTAAGAGGGGAAGATTTATTAAACACAAGATTAAAAGTTAAAAAACTTAATAGATATTTTATATTTTATAAAACTTAAAAGCACTTATTGACTTTTAAATATAAAATTAAAATTTTAATATCTTGTAATTAAACCTATGAAGTAATATAAAATAGAATTAGAATTTGAGGGGAAAGAAAACTTTTTGGTCCGCTCGTGGAAAGAGTGGGGGCGTGCTCGTGAAAACTGACAGTTTCGTATATTTGTCATTTGATGGAAAAATTCTCAGTGGGCTCTCAAAAGCTTCATCTCCTCCAATCCTCAGAACGACTTGCCAACTGAGCAAAGACTTCTCCATTCCCATTTCTCCTCTCCGCGTTTTTTTCCCTCTCTGATTCTGAGCTTAAAACCCAACAGCCCAGAATCAGCTTTTTCTGAAGGAATCCACGACCATGGCTGTTCCCATTTTCAGATTACCCTCTAACCTCCCTCTTCTCGCCATTTTTCTGGCCTTCTCCAGCCTCTTTACTTCAACAGGTTCGCTTCTTCTTCTTTTTCTTCCTCTTCTTGTTTCTGGGTTTTTTCTTCCTCTTTTTGTCTCAATGGGTGTCGTCTGTTAGTTTGTGAGATTAATTGTCTCTATTCAAAAGAATCGCTCTTTGTTTTGCTTGGTTTTGTGACTGATCGGTTCCTCCTTCGTTGAATTTGATGAATGACGAAATGACAGTTTTCCCCATTGGCTACTTCGAGTTTCAGGGGCTCATTTCTCTCGTTTTCTTTGATTTTTTGATCGTATTGGGTCTTTTTCTGGGGCGTGGACTGCAGTTTTGGTTCTTCTTTCTTGAACTTTCAAATGGGTGGTTGAGATTTTTCGGGTTTAATGCACTATACTCTCTGCATCCACGAGACTTTGGAGAAATCCCCTGTTTCTTCTTTATTCTGAGAGTAAAATTTTTCTTTTATTATGTTGGGTTAATTTATGAGAAGAATTTGAGAGTAAAAGTTGAAAAGGAGTGCCTAAAGAATGGATAAGAAATGATGTTTACCTAACGTTGTTAGATGTTATAATCTTGAGGCTACTAATTCTGTACATGGACCATATTGCTTTTGCTTTGTGGCTTATTATTTTTAATCATTACTATTTGATTATTAACTTCCAAATGCTGTTTGATCTTCAAGGTTGATGCTGATTTATGCTTCACCTTTTTCTGTTTTTTTTCCTTATTTCATTTTCAGTGGCATATGATCCACTTGATCCAAATGGAAACATTACTGTCAAATGGGATGTTATTAGCTGGACTGCTGATGGCTATATTGTAAGTATTAATGCTATCACTGTGGCCGCCTAGGATTTTATATCATACGAGTTCTCTTGGCAACCAAATATAGTACAGTCAAGTTGTCAACTTGTGAGATTAGTCAAGGTGTACGTAAACTGGTTAAACACTCACAAATATCAAATAAATAAGTACGAGCGTGCAATAGCCCTTTCGGACGAAGAGTTTGTCTATGGAAACGAGCGGTTTTGGAGGATATTTCTTAATTTCTGTATAAAAACAGAAAGGGATTGAGGTGTTGTCATGGTGTGCACGTAAGAGAGGACATCTCGCTTTCGTTTTTCAAAACATGGATGATAGTAATAGGAATGTTGCTACGTTTTCACTTTTCACATATTAAACTCATATTTATGAATGTGTAGGCTGTCGTTACGTTGTATAATTTCCAACAGTATCGGCATATTCAAGCACCGGGGTGGTCTCTGCAATGGAAATGGGCAAAGAAAGAGGTAATATGGAGCGCAATGGGAGGCCAAGCAACAGAGCAAGGTGATTGCTCCAGATATAAAGGGAACATTCCCCATTGCTGCAAGAGGGATCCAACCATTGTCGATCTATTGCCTGGAACTCCTTATAACCAGCAGATTGCGAATTGCTGCAAAGGTGGAGTTCTCAACTCCTGGGTGCAAGATCCAGCCTCTGCAGTGAGCTCATTTCAGCTCAGTGTTGGTGCAGCTGGAACCTCGAATAAAACTGTCCGACTACCTAAGAACTTCACCTTAAAAGCACCCGGGCCTGGTTATACTTGTGGGCCTGCAAAAATTGTTAAACCTACCAAATTCATTTCCCCCGACAAACGGAGAGTTACGCAGGCCTTGAGTAAGTAAAGAATTGAGAGTTATTTACCTGTGCTATGTCTTGTTTCTATGTTTTTGTTCAAGCTTCTCTGCAATTCAATACCTTTCTTCTGATACTTTGGTTGAAATCCTTCTTATTTGCAGTGACATGGAATGTTACGTGCACATATTCACAATTTCTGGCCCAAAAAACTCCCTCTTGCTGTATCTCGCTCTCGTCGTTCTACAACGACACCATTGTTTCTTGTCCAAAATGTTCCTGTGGCTGCCGAAGCAACATGTCCGAATCTGGAAGTTGTGTCGAGTAAGTTCACTGCTGCCTCATATGAAGTAATAAGCTAATATAATGTGGACTAATGCTGACGTGCTTTTCTGCAGGGCAAATTTTCCACATTTAGCCTCTGTTGTTACTGGTTCTAGTTCTAGTAAGAACAATTTGGCACCTCTGGTTCAGTGTACTGCCCATATGTGCCCAATTCGAGTTCACTGGCATGTGAAGCTTAACTATAAGGAGTACTGGCGCGTGAAGATCACAATTACAAACTTCAACTACAGGATGAACTATACAAATTGGAACTTAGTTGTCCAACATCCCAACTTCCATAATCTAACGCAGATTTTCAGCTTCAACTACCAGTCAATCAACCCCTACGGAAAAATAAGTAGGATACATTCTCTTTTTATCTCTTATGATCCAAACATCTTTTCCGTTGCTGTTCCTTCTTTGAAATTTGAATACATGTATCATAAAAATATGTGGATTTCCAACAGATGACACTGCAATCCTGTGGGGAGTCAAGTTCTACAATGATCTCCTGATGCAAGCAGGCCCTCTAGGGAATGTGCAGACTGAGCTACTTTTCCGAAAGGATCAATCGATTTTCACGTTTGATAAAGGCTGGGCTTTCCCTCGAAGGATCTACTTCAACGGCGATAACTGTGTCATGCCGCCTCCAGATGCCTATCCCTGGTTACCAAATGCAGGTTCTAAGCGAGGTGTCTCGTTGTTCACTAACCTATTGTTGATGTCCTTGACTCTCCTGTCCTTTCACTATTCATTTGCATAACGCTTTCCCTGGATACTCGAGTCATTCTGAAGTTTTGAAGTGGATCAGTCTGGCCCTTATGATAATTCAAAGAACCGACAAATCCCATGGATATGGATGATGACATTTAACTACTAAGATGGTTGTTTGTGTTTCAGCTGAACACTGATGATTGAATTCTCTTTGTAAATGTTGTATTATATTACAGAATGTATCAACTTTCTAATATTTCCATGTCCGTGTTGAGATACTGTTTAACGGTGGGAACTCTGAACATTTATACATAGCCATTGTTACCAGTAAATGTGTTCTTTTCCCTTTTTTTTTTTTTTTGCTTATCATCTTCCATGAAAGATCATATTGAAGGTTGCGGTATTTTGTGAACAGAAAAAGTAGATTACAGGAAAGGGCAGCTTCTGAGGTTCAGTAACTTTGAAGAGTTTTCTGTAAATTCTTCATTCATATGGCATTCTCCATTTTGTTCCTTCTGAAAGAATGTTTTGAGTTCTTTTTTACCTGTGATTTTGTTCCTATATGTCAAAAATATGGACCTGGTCACTGAAAAATTACACTACATTTTCTCTTCATATGTAAGTTTGAATTCTAGTAGGAGAGTCAGCAAATAGTTTGCAGTAGGAGGAGCAGCAGCAAAGTGATTGAAGTTGAGAGTGCAACGAGCTTTTGGCGGGCGGTGTTGGGCAGGAATGGGTATGCATCGGGTGGCGGAAGCATGCACTCGTCGCCATTGAAGTAAACTTTCCGAGGAAATGCCCATCCCTGCTTGAAGGTAAAGGTGTTCTGGTCCTTGCGAAGCAACACCTCCGACTGTACATTCCCGAATGGCCCCGCTTCCATCAGAAGGTCGTTGTAAAACTTCATCCCGTAAAACATTCCCGTGTCATCTGTGTATATCAGGAGAACCAACCGGTGATTTAGCTCTCCTCTTTCGGTGAATATGTTGGAGAAAGAACCATGAGAAGAAAATAATTTCAGAGTTTGATGTTTTTACTTACTGATTGATTCATAGGGAACAAGAGGTTTGTAATCGAAGCTGAAAACTTGGGTAACATTATTCAGATTCGGATGCTGGACAACGAGGGACCAAAGTGAGTAGTTCATCCTGTAGTTGAAGTTCGTGATGGCGATCTTCACTCGCCAGTAGTCCTTGTAATTGAGCTTCACATGCCAGTGAACTCGAACTGGGCACATATGATGTGTGCATTGCAGCAACGGGGTGTTATCTTTCCTTGGTGTATTGACTCCAGCCAGCTTAAGAATCTTAGAATCACCCCTGTAGTCATGATTCAAATCTCTCATCAGTAACAGCAACGTTATTTAAATAGAACGAAACCGAAATGCGGTGGCCTTACTTGACGCAGCTGTTCTTGTTCTGGCAACCACAGGCGCAAGAAGGACAAGACGTGATCGTGTCGTTATAGAAAGACGAGAAAGAAACACAGCAACTTGGGTTCTTTCTAGCCAGAAACTGAGAGTAAGTGCAGGTCACATTCCAAGTCACTGCACAAAAAGGGAAGAAAGATGACCAAATTACAGCCTTGAATTGATGAAATGAAGATGAGGACTGCAACAGACATGGATCTTACTCAGAGCCTGAGTTTTGCGGCGGCGGTCGGGCGTGAGGAAGGTAGTGGAAGGCACAACCTTTGCAGGGCCACAAGTGTATCCGGGCCCGGGACCGAGCAGAGTGAAGTTCTTGGGGAGTTTGACAGTCTTGTTTGAAGCACCTGCTTGGCCAACACTGAGCTGAAAGGCTGAAACAGCAGCCTGAGGGTCTTGTCCCCAAGCAGCCACAACCCCACCTTTGCAGCAGTTTGTAAACTGTTGGTTGTAAGGAACTCCAGGCATCAAATCCACCACAGTTGGGTTTTTCTTACAACAATGAGGAATGTTTCCCTTGAACTTAGAGCAGTCGCCTTGCTCCGTCGCCTGCGCCCCGACCATCGACCATATCACTTCCTTCTTCGCCCATGTCCACCCCATTGTCCACCCGGGGCTCATTATGTGCCGGTACGTTTGGAAGTTGTTTAATGTCACGACGGCCTGAAAAATCATGAGACATTTAGTTGATATAGAATTGTATCGTTAAGTCATCACTAAATCCAAAAACTTACCACATAGCCGTCGGGCGTCCATGACATGACATCCCATTTGACAGTAATGTTCCCATTCGGATCCAACGGATCGTATGCATCTGCAATCAAAAGAACAAGAAGATCAATCTCCAGAAGCCACCCCATAAGAAGTTCAAAATGACCATTACAAGAAAAAGCTCACCTCCAAGAGAAAAGATGACGAAAAAGATGACAGCCAAAACGAACAACGTCCTCATGGTCAGTTCAATTGGAGCCAATGTCGGCCGACAAGTCGAGCCAACGAGTTCTCCCGGGCAGTGGAGGAAGAAAATGAAGGAGGAGGAGGATACCAAAAGGGTGTTGTTGAAAGCTTTATATAAGATTATGGATTTTTCTTTTTCATTTTTTGTTGTTGTTCTGTTTAGTTCCCATAACGTGAAGCAAGGGCTAGGTGAGAGAAATGGCGGGAGATCCGAAGAGTGAGAAGTTAACATCTCAACGGTTCAAAGGTTGAAGATGAAGACGACAGGTAATGGAATGGCCATGCCTTAGGCGTGGAAGTTACTCAAATGCCCCTGTGGGTTCTTAGCGTTTGTTAATTCTCATGTATAAAGAAATTTCATCTACCATTTAAATATGGATACCATAATTTTATGGAAACATCGAGGTAAATATCGATAAAAAATGCGAATATTTCTAAAGAAATTATAACAAATATTTAAAATAACAAATAAGGATTTCACTCTTTTTTTAATAAGTAGATATTAAATGATTAATATTAATATCATGTCATATTAGTGATAATTTTTATATTTTGTCAAATTTTATGTAATATTATAGAAATTCCAATTTACGCCCCATGTCAATGTCAAATCTATGAATATACGGAAATAATGATGGAAATGTTGACATATTGGTGCAAATGTAATACTCTACCTACCATATGCTTGACTTCCATAAAAACATTTTATCTAAGTATGGAAAAATAATGACAAATTACCTTTTAAAAAAAAGTTATTTTAAGTATATAGTTTCTTAAAAATCCCATTATACAACGAATTAATTTTTTAAATGTTGTTTGAGATTACGTGCCAATCTAGTTTAATTTAGATAAAATATAAGAAAAATAACAACTAAAAACAAAACACAAATATAGGAAAAATTAGAACACATATATGAAATTACAATTAATCAATCTATATGTTAATTAGTAATTTCTATGATATAGTTCATATTGCTCGATTATTACTAAAGTTAATCAATGATTAAGTAAAAAAAATAATGCAATAAATTATAATTACTTTTTGTTAAAAAGTACTATATATTGTATAATTGCTTTTATAAGAAAATAGATTCCTATATATTTCGGAAAATAATGCTACTCATCTACTCATTCAAAATTTCCTAAATAATGGTGATTACTCATTGAAGTTGATTATTATTATTTATAATAATTTGTAGTTAATTTTCCAAATCGTTATTTTTAAAAATAATTTTATAGGATTCAAATTTTCCAATTGTGATTATATACATGAGTATGAGATGCTTTTTTTGGGTTACCATTTACCCAAAAAAGAGATTAATTAAAATTAAAATAGTGAAGAGAGAGAAAGAGAAGCAAGGCAAGTTTCTTGAATCTTCTAACAAAATTTGGATGAGTTTGAAAGAAGCAAACAGTTGGGGGAAGAAAAAGTAGAGAGAAATACACCAAACTCTCTGCATTTGGCAGACTTCTCATCAATCGCTTCAATGCTAATATTTCTCCTTTGCAATCCTTTGTTTTCTTTTCAAGCCTGCCTTTGCCTTTGCCTTTGCCTTTGCCTTTTCATGTACATAGTTTGATTTTGATGCCATAAAAATACACCAAAGGTTTTTTTACTTTTCCACCATTTCTACTCTACAATGTCTCTGAGTCTAGATACGACATCTAGTGGCCTTGATATATTACTCTGTGCATTCCCAATAAGTTATTGTTGTTAGATTTGTGAGGTGATTGCCAACAAAGTGGCCTTGATATATTACTCTGTGCATTCCCAATAAGTTATTGTTGTTGGATTTGTGAGGTGATTGCCAACAAAGTCTCACATTGACTAGGGAAAGGAATGATCATAGGTATATAAGATAGGATAATTATCTCAATTTATATGAGACCTTTTAGGTAAAACCAAAAGCAAATCCGTGAGAGTTATGCTCCAAGCAGACAATATCATACCATTGTGGAGATACATGGGGTACGAGGAATACCGTTGTCCTTAGCAATTGTATACGCTACCGATTGTCTTTGTAACAAGAAAGCAAGACTTTGAATGTTTGATCTTTAGAGAAATAAGTAATACCTTGACTAATTAAGATATACTCAGGTGAGTCGTACTTATATCTATATATTGTCTTGAGTTGCATTTGAGATTACGTTGAAAATTGTCTCAACAAAACCAATACAAATTCTTTTTACATATTTTGTATGTACTCAATCACACGCTTTTTAAGCAATTTTTTTAGGAGGTATTCCAGTATAGAATTACTTCAAGTCAAGTAAGTTATGGTTAACTTTGGAGTTCTTAGAGTCACAAGTTCTTTTAAACCTTTTGCATTGTTGTGCTTTCACAACCTCTCTTATTTTGATGTGATATCGATCTGATGTGATATCGATTAATTCATGTATCTCTTCTCTTAGAATTTTATGAGATACTTCTTACGTTGATGGCCAAGTACCAAATGATCATTACTCACCTCTTCAACCTTGAGATCACATGCCCACCAATTTTGCTTATAGTTTGTCCCCAAACAAGTAAGAAAAGTCCCACGTCTCTAATATTATTTGGAATTTGAGTTTAGCACCTAACAACCTCGACATTCTCCTAAATCTTCCGTGTATAGAGACATAATTGTTGTCCTAATTAAACTACTTTTGAAATGGAAGCTTATATGATCTATCAAACAAGTTAATCCTTTTCAACATAAAAACTATGTGAGTGAGAATAAAGCATCGCGTAAGAACTTGTGTGGTTTGTAGAAATAACTTTCGTTTTTTAAAGTAGTTCAAAGGAGTAATAGCACGTCTTAGTCCTCGAGGAATGCCTTGACCCTTAGGTATAAGTAAATACAAAATTTCAAACACCACTGTTGGGCACTTCAAACAGATCTGATAGAAATGGAAAGATAATTAAGTGCTGCAAAAGAAATTTGATAGAAATCAAATGAGAGTGATTGAGCAACCAATTGAAGGGAAAACTCTAGTTTCTTCTGATTGAAATGGACTTCTTCCCAAAATCTTTGAAACTTTGCTAATTAATTTATGTTTTCTACTCATGTTGGATTTTGGTGAAAGAGAAAGGAAGAAATCTAGACCCTTCTTGGAACCAGTTTTTTATGAGCATAAAACAAGTTTTGGTAGGTTTAGAGCCACCAAATATTTTCCAGTCCAACTGATCATGTTCATCTTCCTTAATCACAAAACTAAACTGAAGATTTTAATTGTAAATATATGAATAATGTATCTATCAAGCTTTTAAGGTTCAATGTTTTGGCTTCCTAGTTTCGTAATACGTCACTTAACGTCAATAGATAATTTTATTTAAAGTTTTGATCTTAAAAATAATAGGGTGTGTTTTTAGTTGCATTGGTGATCTAAAGAGCATAAATTTAAAAACAAGTGTTTCAATGACAAATAGAATTAATATTAATATTAACCCATATTTATTGAGTTCATGGATTTAATAAATCTGAAAACGAGAAACGAAATAGGTAGATCTTAATCAAAGTCCCAACTTTTTCAGTTTTACCCCTAATTTATAAATATAGCAAGTTTAAATCTCAAACCCCTCTTCTATCGTTTAAGTCCCATATCATTTCGGATGCTACTTGACACATGATACCTAATTTACACATCAACAAAAAAATTGATCGGTCCATCAGCAAAATCACTTTCTTCCCAATGACATATTCAAGTGCATGTGTCACCTAATTTACACATCAACAAAAAAATTGATCGGTCCATCAACAAAATCACTTTCTTCCAAATGACATATTCAAGTGGCATGCATACGTGACCAAATATATAAACAAAACACTAATATAATGACACAAATCAACTTTTTGTTAACAAAATTTAATAGATTTTTTTAGAGTAAAATTGAGAATTTTAATGCGACATTTAATAACCATTTTATTTTATTTTATATGTTTTGAAAGTTAAGTTGGTTTCTTTAGACTTTATTTGATCGGTTACTCACATCTCTTTCAAACCCATTTAAATTTTTAGTTAAATTTGAAAAACAAAAACAAGATTTTTAAACTTCTTTCTTCATTTTTTTTTTCTTTTAGTTTTTAAAATTTACCTTAGACTTCGAAATCGTTTTTAAAGAGTTTGATAACAAAACATAGAAACAGAAGTGATGTTATGCACTAAAAGATAAAGAATTAAATTGAGAAAACCCTACAAAATTAGAGGCTATTTAATATATTTAAGCTTACAAAAATGAACAAAATATAAAGTTTTTATTTAACAAAAAAAACTAACTAATAAACTATTTTCTTCAAATAATGTTCAAGTATAATGGATTTATTATATAAACTTCTACTAATTTTTATTTTAGTCCTTATTATACATTGGTTTGTCAAAGATTTCTAAAAGTTCAATTTTGATTCTTTCAATTAACATAGAAAATAGATAAAAATTTCAGGACCAAAATGCAAAAATTCCAAAAACAAAGATGGGGTAAAAGTAAAGGCCTAAGTTTTTGGTTGACTTATCCTTTATTAAAAAAATAGAGAATATATAAATATCAAGATGATGATGATATTTTTATTATTTTCTAAACGCAACTATTAACATCTCTACAAAAATTCTAAGATACATGAATTTAAATATTTGAAAAAATCAAAGTTTTGAATATATAATTATCAAATTGTAACAGAAAAGATGAAGAAGAGAAGGAAAAATAACCAAACAAGTAAAGAAAAGAGATAATAAACACAAGAATTTTAGTTCTAATTTCCAATAACCTCCATCATACATCTTATCCATTCAAATAAAACGACGCCGTGGAGCATTCAAGTTTGTCTGAAAAAAAAATGGTTTTCTAATACAACTTTCATGGGAATGTTGACATTTGGCAGAGACTTTCATTTAAAAGCCAAGTCCACACAATATCCCCAAAACATCATCATTTTGAACCATTTTCTTAAAAATATAATTTTTTTAAATATTCGTAAATGTACAGGTAAATTTTTTTTTTTTTTTGAGATATGTCCAGGTAAATTTATGCACACCTCAACTCATTTCACACGAACTTAAAAATATAATATTATTTGTTTCAGTTTTTTTTTCCTTACATGTAACATTTTTTAATTATACCTTTATCGTTAATAAATATATTTTTTTTTTATAAATTAATAAATATTAGAATTGGTTGATAATAAATTTATATAACATTGATATTTATGAATTAAACATAAATTTAGAGACTCCTCTAAATTTGTAAGAGGTTGATAAAAATTTCCATTTTTTCTTCCTATACGTGATTTGATTTTTTTTTTCTAGATTGTTGCCAACTCAATAAGTATTTTACATTCATAAACTTTAATGTTCATGGGCAAAAAAAAGGTACAAATTAAAAATATTGAATGGCAGGGAATTAAATTTGGAAAGAAAAAAAAAAAGAAAGAAAAGACATTCCAACATTGACCAGTAAAACATATATTTAATCTTATTTGTTTCTTTTTTACTTGAAACAAATGTGAATATAAAAAGAAACTTGTAAGGAGTTGACGAGGAGAAATTTAATCAATATTTTAAATATCGATGTCAATAAAAATATCAATAAAATATTGATGTCGAAGAATATCTTTTAAAATGTTAAAAAAATAAAAATAAAAAACTCCTAAAGATATATTTAAATTAACAAATAATATTTTCACGAATTTTTAAATAAGTTAAAAAAATGATTTATATTATTGTTATTATCTATATTATTGATGTTTTGTCATTTCTTTTTTTATAATATTATTGAAAACGTAGATTTACCACTCATGTCAGATCATGGACCCATGTTATTTCCATGTCACGGAAATTTAATACCATAATTTTAACACGTTTTTGAGTGTGAACCAATGATTCGAGAAGACAAAGGAGGAGGGCGTTTGGATGGCAAGAAAATGAAAGAAAATAGAAAAGAAAGTGAGGGAAAAACAGGAGGCTGAGCTGCTGGTTTTTGGAGATGGATGAGGTCAAAGTCGATCAAGTCCACCAACACAGCCCACTGAATTGCAAAATTACAACACAGTTTCCAAATTTCCTTCTGCAATTTCTTGATCTATCTCCAACTCCAATTGCCTATATATAAACACACAGAAACAAATCATCCAATCACACACCCAAATCTGTAAACACTCAGCAAATTAAATCAACTTTTTTCTTTTCTTTTTTTGGTGCAAATTCCCATTTCCATCAACCTTTTTTGGGTTTTCTCATTCACATAATATCTTCCAATGGGACGTTGGATGAAACCAGAGGTACTACTTTTTCTTCCATGCAAACTCTGTTTTTATATTTGTTTTTATAGAGAAATAGGGAGAGCGAGTATTATTTTCTATACAGTTGTGTTTTATAACTGTTTCACAGTTTTATATTTCTTTACCGTTGAGTTGACATTTCAAAATATTCATTATTTTGTTCAATAGTGTCCGAAATTTAATAAATCGAGGGAAAGTTAGACCGATTTCTTGGGGTTGGAGGAGAATATTCAACATAGAAGGTTAAAACCTCGTTTAATGAGTATTTTGTTGTTAGTTTTCTGTTATTAAAAATTATGTGTTTTCTTATAATTTTCTTACCATGTTTTCACTTTCATACGAAAACACTTGCGTTGTTCAAAATTTAACTTAGATTTTGAACACGTTTTAAGAAAGAGGTATAAAAATAAAGAATAATTTTCAAAAATCAGTATAGGTGTGTTGATTTAATCTAAATTTGAGTCTTCCAACTCTTAATTGTATTCTGTACATAAATTCTTTGAAATTTTTTATTTGATATAGAAATTAATCCCAATGCTCAAAATTTGATAAAGAGATGAATATTTGGTATGGTTTTAAATTTTTGGAAAATAAAAAATAAAAAATAAATGGGTTTAATTATTAATATTATGTGATTGAAGGTTTATCCGCTACTGGCGGCCATGGGGTTTGTGACAAGTATGTGCGTATTTCAGCTTACCAGGAACATTCTTCTAAACCCTGACGTCAGGTAATTCCCATTTTTATTCCAATTAAATGTTGACCCAAAAAAAAAAAAAAAATTCTTTTAATTTCATGGAATTGTACTTTTAAACTTGAAAAAAAAAAGGGTTGATTTTTACTTTCTAATATATTTTTTATTTGGGTAATCGTTAAAAAAAGAAATTCATATATGCCTTCAATAAATTATAAAACGTATATCTACTAGTTCACAATATTTCAAAGAAAAATGGCAATAGAGTTAGTTTTTTATTTTGTCTAAATTTGTAAGTTTTGGCGTAATTATTCAATTGTTAGTTTTATATGAATGAGTGATTTTTTCTTTAAGGTTATTTACATTATGTTTGGTTAAACTTATCAATTACCTTAAAATTTAATATATGGTAAAAAAGTGTAGCATCTATCTAAATCTACAGTCTAATTTGATGAAATTAAAAGTTTACCGTGAAAATTGTTAAAATTTATAGGGACAAATTCTGATTTTTTTTCTTTGAAATTTTCTTTTTTTAACAAGGTTTCATTTTATGCAAAAGAGTTATTCTTAAATGGAAATAAAAATGCAACTTATTTCATAACTCTTTTTATTCTTCACCAGCATCCTTTTTCTCCCAATATATAGAAAAGGAAAAAGTTAAATTAAAAAATTTAAACATTACTTTGATTAAGTTTTTTTCTTTTTTTCATCTCTAGAAAAGTTAACTTTTTCATTTTGTTTACTAAATAAATGATTACAAAGCTTAATTTTCATGATTGAACTTTATACAATTTTAGGTAGGATCCCACATTATCCGTGTCTTTTTTTCCCCTCAAATGCCCAAAGAGACTAGAGAGAAAATATTTGCCGAATTTTAGAAATACAAAAAAAAAAGTTTTAAAAAGAATTATGTATATATAATTGCATTGAATTTTTGTGTAGAGTGAACAAAACGCAGCGTAGCATGGGAGTTTTGGAGAACGGAGAGGAAGGGGAGAAGTATGCGGAGCATAGGCTCCGGCGGTTCCTCCGAACCCGACCGCCCGAAATCATGCCCACTATTAACCACTTTTTCTCCCAAGACAAATAAAATTTTCCAATACCATTCTCGTTAATTCTTTTAATCTCGTGTGCCTTTTCTTTTGTATACCCTCTATTGCTACGACGCCGTTTCCTTTTCCTTTCTTTTGACTTGTTGATATTTTATTGTGTTGGTGAGGCATAATAAATAAATATTGATGCGAAGGATGTTTTATATTATTAGTAAATATTAATTATCATTTGTTATAGTTCATATTCCTCAATTTCGTTCAATTAATTAAATATTTATATATATTTGTTTTAGATAGAAGGTTTTGCTGGCCCGTATTCGTTGAACTCTAAATTTTCTTTAGAAAAAAAGTAATATTGATACTATCTTATTATTGGGTATAAATTCACTTATAGTGACATGTCAAATTTAAATTACATTTAACTCAGACAAAAATTTGAAATCTTTTTATCTTTAGACTATGTACATGTCAAGGTTTATTCTTTATTAATAAATTTTGTAATTTTTTAAAGATATAAAGGAAGGCCATGTTTTTACTAAAGTAATTATACTGTTGCTATATTAATTTATGTATAAAAGTACTATTATTATAAGCATTTATTTTAAAAGTACTCTCAAGCACTATACAAATTCTGAAGATTATTTTTCTATAAGCTAAACGGTAATTTTCGCTCTTCCAAAAAGTCATCTCAAATTAAGACTGTTCAAATAACTCAACAACTCGAAAAATCCAAACAACCTAAATTAGGTTGGATTGATCGTTTAAGACACACATGGATAATGTATAAATATCCTACTTCTAAAAAGGTATTTACATAAATAGTAAAAAATAAATATGTATTTTTAAATAGAGTAGAAAGTTTCACTGATATAATCCAAATATAATGTTAACCACACTAAAGAAAAGGTTATGCTTATGCTATAATTTTTTATTTAACCAATCTACACTACAATCTATGTCCATTCTCCAAGCACCTTCATAGAGTAGTAAAGTTCAATTGCAATTGGCATATATCTCTAACCAAGAGGTTGTGAATTCGATCCCCCTTCCCCACATGTCGTATTACAAAAAAAAAACATATAAATTGAAAAGAAAAATAAGCTTTGAAATGGTAGGTAACAATTAGACCAAAGATACAACGAATGTATATGTATAAATTGAAAATAATCTCTTTTAGTTCAAAATAACCAACATGGGTGGTTCATTTTGGGCCAAAGGAAACTAAGCTAAATAAAAAATAAAAAAATTAGAGGGAGAATCAGTTCAAACCCAGGATAACCACCTACTTAGGAATTAATTTCCTATGTATTTTCTTGACAATCAAACTTAATAGGGTCAATTGTCAAACCGAACATAGCTCAAGTAGTTAAGGCATCTATCTCTAACCAAAAGGTCATGAGTTCGAATCTTCACCCTTACCTATGAATGAGCGTAGCGCACAAGGAAGATTCAGGACAGTAAACTTAGCTCTTACAAAATATAGATAAAACATTCAACAGTTACAAAAACGATGTGAAATGTTTTGTCCAAAGCTTATGTTGGTTTCCTCTTTTTGTAGCAAAATTTGCACTTGTAGGGGAAGATAAGAGACCGACCTATTCATTGATACATGTGTTATAGTGCGCTCCTATATGCTAGTAAAATTATATTACAAATTTAGTCTTAGAAACTTTCATGATGGTTTATATCTAGTTATTGAATTTTAAAAAGTTTCAATGGTGTTGAATGAATTTTTTACTTTAATTTGAGCTATTAACATTTCAAAATGTTGATATAACATGCAAAATGAAATAATTTCCATACAATTATCAGTTAAGTAAAAAAAGACTAATACTTTTTTTTTCTTACAACATGTTGGGGAGGGGATTCGAACTCACATATATGTCATTAAGTTATACTCGCTTCGACGAAAAGAAAAAACGACGACTAAATTGATCAAACCTAGTAAGTAAATTAAAAAAAAATGTATGGTACAAAAAAATGTATGGTACTTTTTTTACTTTGATATTTTGAAAAGATCTCATCACATCTTCATTCATCATATTCACCAATGGTTTTTACAAACATATAAACTATAAAGAGTTCGCCTCGACAGGGACTCATTACATAATATACCAAGTTTTAAAGTTCATAAAGTTTTTAAAATTTTAAGGCAGCTCATTTAGTAATATTTTGATTTTTTGTCTCTTATTTCTGGATTTCGATTTTTGAAAAACACGAGGAGTTTAGTAACTATTTCTATTTTTCATTTTCTTATTTAAGAAAATATTTTCAAAATTGTATTCTACAATTTTAGAAGCAACAAAGATCAAATTTCTTGTTATTTCTATTTCCAATTCTTCTTAAAACATAAACAAAATATTATTACTCATAAATACATAATAAATATTTAAAATGAAATATAACATAAAAATTTTGAATATCTTGATTTTGAAATAATGATTTTCATATAAAATTATTCTTTTTTTTTATTTAAAATTTTAGAAAACAAATTTCTATGTTCTCTCTGTTCAATGAAAAAATAACAAGAAAAAAAATTATCAAACTTAATTCTACTTTTATTGATTATAAAAACAAAAAACAAGAAACCATTACCAAACTCATACTCACATTTAGTTTCCATATCGACTTCTTACAATATTACGAATGTGGTCGATAGCTTATATACGAATGAAAAAAGAGATTCGTAGTTTATCTAAATCTAATGCAACTGGTTAAGTACCTGCATCCGACTAAATACGGTGAGTTCGAATTTCTACCCCTATGGTAAAATAGATAAAGAAAATAAAAAGAGAGGGATTAGTAGCTTCAAATTTCTTCCAAAATTAATTGCAAGATTTAAGGCTTAAGCTACGAATAATCTTTTGACTTTTTTAGTCAACTCAAATGGGAATGTGAAGCACCATCCCCATACACGTGTGTGTTCCTGTTCCCGCACGTATTTTCTCTCTCTCTAGATCTATATCTCTCTTCCCTTATTATAAATTTCCAAGTTTATGTTCCCTAGTTTGTAACTCATAATTAAACTAATAAATGCTTTAATAAAGCACCAACTTAATTGTTATTAAACATTTTAGTTCAATTTGACCCTAAATGGAACTGAAGATTTTTGTTGAAACCAAAAATCAAACAATAGACATCGTTCAAATATTAAGAAAAGTATAAATGGTGAAATAGAGATTCAAAACTTTTTACTTTGAAAAATAGCATGATGTCTCTTAACAATTGAATTAAGCTTATTATGTTGGTAATATTGATATATTTTGATAAGCAACATTTTTTTTTTAATAAAAGCATAAATTTTGGTACCTTATATTGATCTATATATAGATTTTTGGTGATATAGATATATTTTAGTACAATAAACAGTGTGGAATATAAGTTGTGGAAGGCAAAGATAATTGGTGTCTTATTCACTAGCCATTAGATTTTGATGATATTGTTATTAATATTATCAATATTATTATTGATATTTTCATATTTAGTGGAACAAAATTTAGAATAATTTGTTGGATAATTCATGAATGAGATTTTTTTTTTAAATATCCATGAATGACCTTTATGTTATCACACAAGTTGTATCAGTCAATTAATTTTTTAATATGAAAAATAATAAATGCCTATATATCTAAATAAATTTAGGTATCACGAATAACAAGATTTAGTTTAGAATGCAATATGAATATGATGAATTGAAAAAAAAATACAAGTCAATGAATCATGAGAATTGGTTAAAATATATTTAGAACCGTAACTTGATTTTTATAATGTTTTGTTCTTTATACTATTTTTTAGAATCGAACCATAAGAGTTGATAAAATAGTAAAAGTTATATATATATATATATATATATATATATTTTTTTTTTTTTATTATCGTAAGCTTCATTCATTCATATTTCAAATTTAAATTGTTTTTTAATTAATTTTTAATAAAAATTTTAATTTAATAACTTTAATTGCTACATTTATTTTTGAATGAACTAAAACCATGTTTTAACCCATATATTTATATTAAAAAAAAACATTCCATAGATTTTTATTTTTATCAAAATGGGTGTGAGCATTGCAATCTTTTGGAATTGTACCAAATTATGCAATCATCATACTTGAAACTTAAATGTGATAACCAGAAAATTATGAATATATATATATATTTTTTAGAATACAGAAAATTATGAATATTTTAGGCTTCTTTTACAAAAATTGTATTTTTTGTGTTTTTTTTGTCTAATAATAGATATGGTAGTTAGTTTCTTATAAGATTAGGAAGCAATCTTAAAAATGGAATATTTTACTTTTCAAATTTGATAAAGATTAAAAAAAAACTAAATAAAGAAAATTTTTTATAACCTTAATTTTTAAAAAATAAAAAATAAAAATCTTATTAAATGGCAACAAAGGTTAAAATGAGACCTTATCCAAAAATTGTAATCAAACATTTTTGTCAGTATGTTATATTCTCATTTTTATTTATTTTTTTGAAATGAATAGAAATATTTGGTCTCTATATTTTAAATTTAATATTTTTTAAATTTATGAGTTTCTAATTCTGTATCTTACACATCATTAATTTATTAGACATTTTTTCAAATTCAATACAGCAGTGAAAGGAGGAGTCCTACGTTCAAAAAATTCAATTTTGAGTTTAATAAATTTATGAATTTTTAAAAATATCAAATAAATCAAAGAACTCAAACACAAAATTAAAAGTTCATAATCTCTTTCCAGGTTAAAAAACTAGATACAAAATCAAAAGTTTAGAAATTCAGGACGTGTTTGGTAGTTCTAGTTTCTTATTTTTTGTTTCCCATTTCTTAATAAATAAAAATAGATACCAGTTTCTTGTTTCTTATTCTTATTTTACTAGAAAATAAAAAAAAATGAAACATGTTTTGTAACCATGTCGTTTTCAAAAAATTTTAAATTAAAAATAGTAAATTTTTCATATGAAAATGATTTTTTAAATTAAAATATTCAAAATCTTGTGTTATATTTATTTGTTAAAAAATATTTATTATACTTTTTATAAATGAGTAGCAATAAAAATAATGCTTTCTGTTTCTGTTTAAAACAATAAAAATAAAAATAAAAAACTTAATTTTATTATTTCCAAATTTCTACGTAATTTTAAAAACATTTTTTAAAAAAGACAACAAGATCAGACATCAAGAGCTTATATTTCTAAAAAACCGAAAACAAAGAAACATTTTTTTTTATTTAAACAAATATTAAATCAATTAGATACTCTGATTTAATATATATCTATATTAAGCCTTATTTTTTAAAATTAAAAAAAAGAGAGAGAAATAAACACAAGGTTAATGGTTAATTAAGAAACTCATCCGCTAAACTCGGTCACTTTGACCACTGAACAATTCTTCGTTACCTTTGAAATTCAGACACCTCTCTCTTTCTCTGCTTTAATGGCGCCTTCAAGCCACTCGCTTCTGCCTAACTCTTCGCTCCCATCACCCCCTTCACTCCCATTTATATTCCCCTCTCCCAGTTTCCCTCTTCATGCTCAATCCCCTCCATTTCCCACACCCCCTTCTCTGAATCCGGCGCATCTCCCCTCCCTCTCCCATGGCTGAAAACGCCTCCTCCGCCACCTCCCTGCTCAAGGACGAGCTCGACATCGTCATCCCCACCATCAGAAATCTCGACTTTCTCGAGATGTGGAGGCCCTTCTTTCAGCCTTACCATCTCATCATCGTCCAGGACGGCGACCCTTCCAAGGTCATCAAGGTCCCCGAGGGGTTCGATTACGAGCTCTATAATCGCAATGACATTAACAGGATTCTGGGTCCCCGCTCCAATTGCATTTCCTTCAAGGACTCTGCTTGCCGCTGCTTTGGCTACATGGTGTCCAAGAAGAAGTACATCTTCACCATTGATGATGATTGCTTCGTGAGTTTTCTTTGCTCTTTTATGTCTGGGGGTGTTTATTTGTTTTGTCATTTGTGTTTGGCTGAGTGATTCTTGATGGGTTGATTCGATTTTCCTGGTTGGTTTTTTAATGCCTGCCATGTGTTTGTGAAAATGCCTCACTGGTGATGAAATCTTGAAAAATTCGATTTGGGCTGCTTGCATTTATTAGTTTTTAAATCTGAATCCTAATTGTTCTTGCTTCCTCTTGTACATAATGATCTGTAATTATCTTTTTGTTCAGTTTATCTCCTATATCGCTTTGTGCTCATTCACGATGATAATATTGTAAGAAAACCTGATTATTAGCATCTGGGGGACAACTTTTGATGTTTTCAGATGTTATTTGTTTCTAAATTTGATGCCTAGGTTGCAAGCGATCCGTCTGGGAAACCTATCAATGCACTTGCGCAGCACATCAAGAACCTCCTCTGCCCCTCCACCCCCTTCTTCTTCAACACCCTTTATGACCCTTTCCGAGATGGTGCTGACTTTGTACGTGGATACCCCTTCAGTCTGCGTGAGGGTATCCCGACGGCTGTTTCTCATGGCCTTTGGCTTAATATACCAGATTATGATGCACCAACTCAGCTTGTTAAGCCTCTGGAAAGGAACACAAGGTAAGGACTAATTTCTAAAGGCTACCATTTAGATGAAATCTAGAGGTTCAGTCAAATTTCTTTTCTAATGGCTTTCGTTGTCTGAAAAAGGTTTGTGGATGCTGTTCTGACAATCCCGAAAGGCACTTTGTTTCCCATGTGCGGTATGAATTTGGCTTTTGATCGTGATCTCATCGGCCCTGCAATGTACTTCGGACTCATGGGTGATGGCCAACCTATCGGTCGATACGATGATATGTGGGCAGGCTGGTGCACCAAGGTGAGTGATAGATTGATCAAATCAACAGAGAAGTTTCAAATCATTTACACCCTCTCTCAACACTTGCGACCTTCTTGCATCATATCTTTAATTCCGAATTCATTTTCAATCCGCAAAACACTAAAAGCATACCGTTAGAACAATTACAATGCATCTGAATGATAGATTGATCATAAGCATATAGATGTAAGTTCCATGTGACCTTCTGGAATCGTATCCTTAATTCTGAATTCATTCCCAATCCATAAGTCCTGAAAAGCATTCTTTTAGGAGAATTATGATGCATCTGAATGACAGATCAGTCATAGATCAGTCATAGAGGTTATGTGTGAAATTCTCTAATCATCTCTTTAATTCCGAATTCATTTTCGATCCACAAATCCTGAAAAAGCACTCTGTTAGGAGAATTAGGACGATGCATCTGAAAGATAAATTGGTCATATACACTCATGTAGGTCATATGTGATCATCTGGGGCTGGGAGTGAAGACAGGACTGCCCTACATCTACCATAGCAAGGCAAGCAACCCATTTGTGAACCTGAGGAAGGAGTACAAGGGCATTTTCTGGCAGGAAGACATCATCCCTTTCTTCCAACAAGTTGTTCTTCCAAAAGACTGCACCACTGTCCAGAAGTGCTACGTTGAGCTGGCCAAGCAAGTCAAGGACAAGCTCAGCAAAATAGATCCTTACTTTGACAAGCTGGCAGATGCCATGGTGACATGGATTGAAGCTTGGGATGACCTCAACCCAGGTGGAGTTTCGGCCAATTTACCCAACGGCAAAGCGTAATCGTCTAGTCGAACCCCCCCGTCTTATTTTAATTTTCCTGCAACTATAGGTATTTGAGTTTTAATAACTAATGATTTTTCGGATTTTGTTGGATGTACTTTTTGTTCTTTCAATCTACTCTTTGTTATGAGTTAGTAGAAACAATAAGATATGGTGATCAAGTTCTAGTTTGTACCAGAGTTGTGATGGCCAGAATTTTTCAGTAATATTTATACCACAACGTTTGAGTTGAGTTGTGTTCAAATTATTTTGTTTGCTCGAGCCATAACAATTTTGTTCTTAATTGTCTTTTGCACATCAATCGATTTGAATATTAAGACACAAATCTAGCTTGATGCAGCCTTCTTGGCTCAAATCATATCGTAAAAAAATTGCGCTCATATTTAGCATGCTTCTCAACCCAATGTAGGTAGGGGCTTCAATCGAGCACAAGTAACACTCATTTTTCAAGTAGTTGACAAGGTCCAAAATATAGTTGCAGCAAACAATCATATAGTTAAATTGGTTAAAGTAAGAAGTTCGAATACGGTATTGCACCTACACGACTGTTTAAACTACATGAATGATGAATCAAGATTTTCTCATAATACACTTGCCATTTAAATGTCTGGAAATACAGTCATAAGCTAAATACCATTTGGAGAAATTTTTCAACATGAAACATTTTTCCGAAGAGACATTAGACAACATTAAGAACATCTTTGTTCTTTCTCAAATAAAATATCACTAGTTTGTTACACACAACTTAAATGGACCAAAGATATCCATTAATTCACTAAAAATTGAGTTGGTTCATAATTAACTCTGAACAAAAAATAATTTTTTGCTTCTTTTTTTTAAACCAAATTAATTTCTCTTAAAACGAAGTAGTTTCTTATATATTTTAGTACTTTTGTTTCAATATTTCTTACTTCATAAC